AACCCATAGGCAACCTAGTGTTGGATACCTCGGACCATAACTACGAATTAATCATGTAACCTCTAAGTTCCCCAGTGGAGTCGTAACTGTAAGGAGGGTGATCCCATCGTAAGGGGTACTCTCCTTAAATGCCCTTGGCCACTTAAAAGCCTAGGACTTTACACTTGTTAAGGGGTAGCTTTTTTATAAGAAACAAGTAGGAGTCGCCAATGAGTTTTAGGAAAAAACTCATAAACCTCGTTCATGCCTTTCTTCCATGTGGAGTTCATGGAATAATTAGCACAAATCATAAGTTTACCCATGCCCAAATTGGTCTATAAACCAGAAATGAGTTAGAGAGCGCGGGTCCTAAGATAACGTTCCTTTTAGAGGGGAATCGTCATCCTAGCCCTAGTACAGCCTCTACTAGCTCTTCCTTTTTCACAATTTCATCACCAAAAAATATATGCAACGTGATACCTAAAACTATGTTAGTTGATTTTATTTACAAGAATTAATTCACGTAGGAATTACATTGCAAAGTCGTCATTCTTATTAATTAAATTCATGGAAGAACAATAAATAAACAAGATTGGCCTTGGCTTAGGTGATCAACCAACAATTATTTAATTCAATTCTAGTCTTATTTAACGCAAGATATTATGTGGAATTGATTAATCAATTATTTTAAAAGTGATCAAACAACACTAATTAATTAATTAAAGTCCTTTTAAACAAGAAAATAAAGGTGATTTAACTAAGTGCTCGGGAATTTACCACTTCTCTTTGCTAGATCTCCGTTTAGAACACTTATGGACACCTTCTTGTTAGGGAACCTCCACCGTAATAACAAAGAATCGAAAGGGTGAGTGTTTAGGACAAGAGGGCTAGGTTGCACAAGTTCACAAGTTATTTCGCCAGAGTCTTTAGGTTAATTTCTGTCTGTTGAAGCCTCGGTTTAAGCTCGTATTTATAGAGAAGGATTAGGTTTAGGGTTTTGAGCTTTCTGCCGCAGCAGGTGTCGCGCGCAACAGATGAAGTTGCGCGCGGAAACCCAGCGCAAGTTATAGAGTTGCGCTGCCATGTGCAGCGCAACTATTGGTCTTGCGCGCGGCTTTATGGTAAGATTCGATTTATATTTTCCGTATAATTTCCGAATAATTACAAATCTTCCGCAGCACAACTCTGGAAATTGCGCTGGGTGTCGCGCACAACTGAAATAGTTGCGCGCGGCAGCCCAGCGCGACTTTGTGAGATGCGCGCGGCGTTTTCTGCGGCAACACTATGTTTTAACCTAGGCGCTCCTAAATCCATCATTATTAGGGTTTAAGCACGAGCTTAAGCCTAATTATGATCGGGTTTAGTTAATTGGACCTTTGTTTTGGCTTTTCTTTAATTTGGGCTAGTCTTTTGTGTTTTGTGGCTTAACCAGTTATCCATAAGTATTTTTCACTTTGATCCAACACAAAGATGGATTTATTTATCGTCATTGCACTTCCTGTCGAGCAGGAGGCCAAAAGTACATGTCTACACATTGTTCTTGCTCGATCGCACGTGGAATCACGCTTCAAAGGTACGATTATATGTTCTTTATGTGTTATGCATTAGATCTTGGGATTAGGTATTGTATGAATATGATTCATATTTTTCCGCTGCGTAGTACCTATAAACTCCTACACTATCATCTAATAATAATTCAACTTATGTAATCTTTATTTTCTTATTTCTTTTCTTTATTTATTTTGAGATTAGAATTTAGGAAGTTTATAAATACTTCTAGGGATTATTATTTTTCCCTTAGGCCGTTTTTACGTTTATTTTCTTAGCCCTAGTTTTCTCATGGGCAACTCCATGGATTTTCAATGGATTGTTCTTGAGTTTACTATTTTTATTCATTAAGGTATTTTATTCTCTCTTTTAATTATGCTTTCTTTATTAGATTTAGTTTTGATTATTTATTCAATGTTTGAGTAGTTTATTTCTAGGGTTTGGGAATCTATGTTTATACAATGAAATGAATCTTGATTGATGTTTTTGATATTTTAATTATTGATTTCTCTAACTGATAGCGTTTTATTGTTAATCTTGCAACATGATCAATTGTTTGATTAATTGTTGTTAATAAGAGTTTGAATCGAAAGATCTTACTTTTAGAGTCTTACCTACAATTAGCAATTCTAAATTATGTTAGCGACCGAACTATATATGTTGAATTGAGAGCGTTAAGACCCGACCGTAGGCTTAGCAATTGCTCTAGATAATTGATTGATTGAATTGTTATTGATGTTTGATAGATTTAGAATTATAAGCATGGTGAACCATAACCCTAGGTCTTTTTATTAATTATTTTATCCCTCTTTTAATTTAGACTACTTTCTCATCTCAATTTCGTGACATAGTTTAGTTTCTCCATACCTTGAAAGCTAAATTAAATAGCCATCTCTTTGTGGATTCGACCCTACTTACCATACTACATTGTTAGTTGGTTTTGTTAGGAATTTATTTTTGACAGGTGTACGACAACCTATCAAGTCCTCGAATGAGCATTCGACACTCCTAGTTCTAGATTCAGCCGTCCCCGGTGACCGGCTAATCGCTAACCTATGCCGTGCCGGGTACGTTTGGAAAACCATTTTCGAAAAAAGAAAAGAAATAAAGATTAAAAAAAAGAAGAGCAGATGGTTACCTTACTAAGTGAAGGTACGATGAGTCGATTCAAACATCTGGTCGTCTGCTTACAGGCGGACTAGTGGCCGAGCGTCGCATGCTTTCACAGAAGGAGACAAAGTTCTCAAAGTCAAAGATTCGAAAGATTCTCTCTGAACATAATGAAGGGGTCAACCCGTATTTAATAGAAAGGGTGAAAAGTCTAGGGTAAAAACCCTAGATTCTACCCATGGTAAACGGTAAAATGTCGAACCAATGACTGAAGGACACTTGTCACAAGTGCCACGTGGCTCCCACGTGACCCTCGTGAGGGGCAAATGATTTGGGTATTTCCATCCCGCCACTTGACATAATGAGAGTTTTCCACGTGTCAACTGAGAAGGCCTCCAAATGGACCTCTCAGGGGACGACACGTGTTAAGTAGATATCCCCTTAGGAATTGGCGCCCTTCAAGGCCCAATTCCCGAGGCAGTAGCAAAACGGCAGAGCCCAAATCCCTATGTCACCAAACCCTAGGGGAAGGCATACCTTTCTAGGACCCTATAAATAGGGAGATTCCCCATTTATTGGGACACATCTTAATCATTACATCATTTATTGCTCTCTAAAACAAAGAACACATGATCTCGGAATCCGAGAAGATATTTACTTTCTGCACGTTTTACTCCAAATCCGTACTAACTTAATATTCGGAGGCGGACCTCCGAACATCCGGAGCTCCGTTCTTTTGCAAGTACATGCAGCTTCATTGCACCAAGTCTTCCGAGTTGTAACTCTCCCAAGGGACACAAAAACACCCAAAGCAGTTATTATTGTTGTTGTTGTTTTTATTTTTGTTATTATTGATGTGTTGTTATTATTATTATACATAATAATTGTTATTGTTACTTATTATTATTATTATTATTATTATAGTTGTTTTTATTATTATTATTATTTATATTATTTTTATTATTATTATTATTATAATAACAATTATTATTATTATTATTATTATTATTATTATTATTATTATTATTATTATTATTATTATTATTATTATAGTTGTTCTGTTTCTTTTTAAAAGAACATTACATTTGTTCTTATTTTGTTAGTTTTGTTGCTATTATTATTATTATTATTATTATTATTATTATTATTATTATTATTATTATTATTATTATTATTATTATTATTATTTTATTTATTTTTTAATTTTTTTTAGCGCCAAGACTTCCAGCAATCGTTATACAATCGGCATTGTATTCTGTCCTTTCATAAAATACTAGTGTTTTATTATTATTATTATTATTATTATTATTATTATTATTATTATTATTATTGTGCATGGTAAAAGTGATAAGTTGAGGTAAATTTAAATTTTTTTTATAACAAGGGTAAGACCGAAATTTCAAATTATATATACGGACGTTATCTAGAGATTCGAGGGCGACATTTATCGTTCCCAGGTACCCCTAGAAAGAAATGAATCAAAACACGTAACAATTAGTATTATATACTCCTTGAGTACTATGGATCATGGTACTCCTTACACAATATATTTGAATTATTTTGCGTACACTTTATGTTATTTTGTTTAAATTTTGTGTTATTTTGTTACAGCAATATGTTATTTACTTATTTATTACTTCAACCCAACTCATGCTATTTTTAATATACATTTAAATAACATGTACTTATTTAAAAATAACATATACATATATATATATATATATATATATATACATATTATATATATATACATATATATATATATACATATATATATATACATATATATATATACATATATATATATATATATGTTACAACAATATGTTATTTACTTATTTATTACTTCAACCCAACTCATGCTATTTTTAATATACATTTAAATAACATGTACTTATTTAAAAATAACATATATATATATATTTATAAATTGAAATAATAATAAATTCACATCAAAATAATATTAGTAGTGTTGAGTTTTAAGTCATCTTGAAGAGAATCAAATATTTTAGAAGATACTAAATTTATGGATATAAACACATTTACACCCTTAAATTACCTTCAAATCAATTAATTTCTAAGAAACACAGAAAACTAGAAGAAGAAAAAGGGGAGAGGGAAAGGGTGTTAGATTTAGAGTTGGAGTAGTGAGAGGAAGAGAGTGAGAGTGAGGTTGATTCCTAGAAAACCCAGAAAATTGGAAGAAGAAAGGAGAGAGAAAGTGTATGATTTTGAGTTGGTGTAACCGAGAGGAAGAGATAGTGAATGAGGGAGGAACATGAATGAGAAAAATGGCGAAATAACATACATGTATTTAAAAATAACATATACGGAGTATATAATTTGAAGTAACAAAGAGTTAACATAAAAAATAACATGAGTTTTATAAAACCTGGAATACCGTGTGTCCGTGTGCATGGTACTTTAGGAGTATGTAGAAATTGCCAACACGCAATATTCATGCTTTTTCAATATTTTCATCCTTGATCCTAGATTTGACCATTCCAAGATTTGACCAATCTATTCCCCTTTTCTCACTCTTTCCCCCCAAAAAATCAATAACAAAACCCAAGTAAAGAAAACAACACCAACTCTTCTTAATCTTTGGTGAAACACATCAATTACGCTACTATGCAGCAGTTAGGAGCCTCTTCCTTTCTCATCCCCTTTTTTCTTCCTGCTTAATTTCTTCCTAATTGCTAATTTAGGGTTTCTTATCTTTCTCTCTCCTTTTTCGCCATTCTCAGGATTCGAGCTTTATTGACTCTATTCTCCTACAAATCCCTAATTTTACTCCTCTATCGTTTTCCCAATTCATATTCGAGCTTAGATTTTCGCAGTATTACCGCTTCAATCCTCAACTTTCGGCTATATTACATAGGGTTTGAGTATTGAAATTCATTTGAAAGGTTCAAGGTTGAACTTCAAGAAGTTGTTAAATTATTTTATTTTTTTGCATAAAATTGGAGTATTTTTTGAGTGATGTTGGTGTAAATGGCATTGAAATTATCGGCTGCGAAAGCAGCTGAAGTGGCGATTGGATCGATTGGTCGTGGATATGATATTTCGGCCGATCTTCGGCTTAAATTTTGTAAAGGAGAAACATTGGATTCTCATTTGATTGTAATTGATGAAGATCATTGTCAAGAAATTGCTTTGCCCGGTGGAATTAGTGTACCTAATGTACCTAATTCTATAAAATGTGATAAAGGCGAACGAACGAGGTTCAGGTCTGATGTTCTATCTTTTCAACAGGTACTGCTGCTAATTTTATTGTTTTTCTTTGATTTGCCCGCCTCAAAGTGATTGAGCTTGTTTTGTTGCTCGCTTGCCATTATTTGGTTGTATAAGAAGTAGTGACACTTTCTCAGTAGGTATATTTCAATAGAACACTGGAAGTGAAAACGTCGGCCAAGTATATTTAATTTCTACTGGAATTAAATTAATATGTAAACCTTATTAATTTTCATCATTTATGACTTTCTAGTGTATGGATTCTTAGGATTGGTTTGAAGTTTGTTATCTGTGCAGTTGCGCTACCTTGTCGCGAAGTTTAAATATGGGTAATGATGGAGGAATCTGGTGAAATTATGAAAGTGAACAAGAATTAGTAACTTAGTGGAGCTTTTTCCTTGTCCTTGAAATCTCATTATTTCCTTTATTTCGACTGCTGTCAGGCTAGTATAGGAGTTTAAGAACGAACACATGCTTTAGTTTTGCACCAAAGCAGAAATCTGTAGTACAATGTACTTATGATTATAATCATGACAGTTGTGCTTACGATATGTTATTACCAATTTCTATTAAAAAACATATTCATTAGAGCTACTACACTAGAATCGGTGTTTTTATATAAATATCTCAATTACAGGAACATTACTCATGAGAATAAGATGGGCTAGTTCCCATTATGCATGAATCTAATTAACAAAGTAATGAGGATTATACTTTTCATGTCTGTGGTATTTTAAGAGAGTGTGTTTGTTTATAGAATTGCTACCACATGTTTTACCATGAAGTTTGTCCTACAATACTTGACTGTCATTGTAGTATGGCCAAATATATATATTTTTTATTCTTTTGGATGAGATTCATGGACGTAGTATGACCAAATATTACCCATTAATTATAGCGAAGGAAAATAATCAGTTAGCAGCCAAACTTGAGATCTAAGAGTTAACTAAATATTAGATCGACTGCTAAGATTATGATTTACTCGATGTTAAAAGAATCCAGGGAGAAGCTTGTTCACCAAAAAATCCCCTCATTTAAAGACATAAAGATGAGAGTTGAGTATTAGCTGCCGGCTCCGTCTTTCCCCAGCAGAACATTTCATATATTACATTTTGTGCTCATTTAAATTTTTTGCTTTGTTTTTCCTATCAGCCGGTAACCACATGATGATCTGCATGAAAGGTGGCTGCCGTATTGCTTAAGCTATAGCGAATACGTCTATTGTCTAGCCAGTCAGCCACTTCCTAAAAGGACTATGTTCATTGTACCCTCCTCCCCTCTCTCACCTATGGGCAGCTCCTACTAAAATAAGAAATTCCTCGATAGCGCTTCCTTGCAGCTAGTCGAGTTGCCTTACATGATGGGGTTCATGTTGTCAATTTCTAAGCGTAGGATATTTTTACAAAAACACCGACTACTGTAGTAGCACTAATGATTGCTCGAATTGATGTTCATGTAAGATCTTTTATATTTTGCAGGCATTGAGTTGATGACACTTAATTTTTATTTATTTTATTTTATTTTAAAAAAAAATTCTGTAGAAATATGCGTCTAATTATCTGAGTGTTTTCTTAATTCATTCAACTCATATCTCTTCTTTGACACCACCTCCATCTTCTTTAATGCAAAAAACAGCGGAAAAAAGCTGGAAATTGAAAGGGGATGTACTGATGTAGAATGATTTCCTTGATTGGTGTTGGATACATCAAACTTATGTATCTCTAGCAGACCATAATCTTCCTAATCCATTCTATTCTATTGCTAAAACAAAATATGTTGTACATCATAAAGGACACATGTCAACTTCATATGAAAATTTCTCCCGCCAAAACTATTTTTGACATCATTTTTTTTCTTATATTTTTTTCCTCCTAAGTTCTAAGAGAAAAAATATAGTAATTCTTTCAAAATTAATTAATGAGATTATGATTACTTTTTTGAATAAAGAATATTGACAACTATTTTAAACATATAATATCTATTAACTCGTGAAACACACGGGACTAAACTGGTTTCTACTGCTACTTGATGATGCTATTGGAATTTGCTTACGACAACTTCTTTACTTTGATATTTTCATGACCTTGGTTTGTAGTATATATACCTTAATTGAACTGAATCAAATATTATGATTAACTTGTGAAGGAGTTTACCAGATATAAATGTACATTTATGGTTGAAATAAGTGCACCTTGGAAACAAAGATTAAACGAAGCTAGCTTTGCACAACCCTAAATTCTTGTGAAAAATGAGACTTATATTATCTTTATTTTTGTTGTACAACCCTTGCCCCCTTCTCGCCAAAAAAGATATAGTGTCCATGTATGCTGCTGAAATCTTGGACAGCTATTTTGCTTTCACTTTGAGCCGGTTATAAAAAAGCTTTAAGTACACCAAGGCTTTTCAAAGTTCCCTGTGCCTAAGGCGTGACTCGGTGTGGTATGTTGCAGTGAGACGCATATAATGAGCAAGATAATAAAACTATTGTGAGCCTTTAGTTGTGCCTTGGTGCGCCTTAGTGGCCTCCAAATCGCCCATGTGCCTTAGCCCGTGTTTTAAAGGCACGCCTGTGGCGCAAGGCTATAGGGGGTAAGTGCTTTTTTTCGGCTTGGCCGAGGCGTTTTCGTTAAGGCGAGGTGCACCAAAAGCGCCCTGTGGAGCACATGAGGCGCACCTGAAAGCTTTCTGCCAAATTTTCTTTACTGTTTATATAGTGCGCCTCACTTCAAAGAGGCGCACCTAGGCGCTGCATAACCCTTATCAGTTGAGTGCACCTTGTGTTTTTTTATACATTGGCATTAGCCGTGCGCCTCCATGAGCCTTAGTTGCGCCTCATCAAAATCCCCTCACCTAGACCACAAAATGCGCATGACCCCTTGTGCCACAACGCCTTTTCTTCAAACACTGTTTTTGAGATACATGAGTTTCATGTTCGCTTTGTTTCTCATAAAAGAATGATATTTGTTTTTTGCAACAACTCATTGTAATTCTTAGTATTGTATTTAGTTATTTCATTTTAATTAGCATTGTCAAACAAACATGAAACAGAGGCTATAATAAATATGTTTATCTATCAAACAAGGATGTATAACTATGATGGAGCTTCAAATAAACATTTAATTGAAAAATAATACATAATGTTCAAACCTAATAACATACTTACACGATTCTTTTTTAGTTAACTCAATTCTTTTATCAAGTTTGCCAATGCTCAACCATCATTTATAAATATCTCTAATTATCAACTAGTAAATATTATTATAATAAGTTGATAATATGAATATATAATCGAGACCGTTTTAACAAAGTCCCACCTAGCTTTATTTTATCATAACTATAAATCACAAATTTAGTCAAATTAGAGTTTATTAGTTTAGGAATAGTGTCAAGTGTCAAAATGGGTCAACTAAATAAGAATGGAGGAAATATTAGGGGTTGTTTGGTTGGACTTTTTTGAATGGAGTTATGTCCATTTTATTCATTTTATTGTTTGGTTAATCATTTTAGCTATGAAACTTCTACCAAGAGGGTTTTAATTCTACCCCATCCTCCTGGAATCTCATACTCACCTCAACCCCTAAGATTCAAAGTGCATTTATTTAATGAGATTTTGAAACTGAACTTATACACCAAACAACTTCAGATTAATAAGGAATGTAGAATCCTTTCTCCATTAGTATGTGACTCCATACCAATCCATTCCAATTTAATTAACCAAATGACCCCTTCAATTGTGACAGAAAATTCTAAAGAACCCACACAAGCTACAATGTTAAGACATTTATTGATCACACATTTTACTCAAGGCTTCTATTCTAACAGCTCGTGTGATTCACATTGAAGTAATTACTTCAAAATAAGGTAGGTGTGCAATGGAGTACTTCAAATTGAATTTCCCTTCTGTTTGCATGTTGGGAGTATTATTTGTATTAGATATATTGAAGAAGCATGCTTATCATCTTCAAACTCTCCTTTTCAATTCAGAAACTCTGAACATATCCCTGTTATTTCAGAAATAAGTGCTTCCCAATATGGTTTCTATGGTATTTAGGCTCAAACAGTGCTAAAGAAACTGGTTGAGAAGAATGAGATTGGAGACCTTATAGCATAAAAGAGGAAAAAAAAGTCAGTTGATACATTTTTTGATCCTAAACATAGGGACTTGTGTTTAGAGGTTGAAAGGCCATCAAATGTCAATTGTTTTTCTGTCTAAATATTTAATCATTTTTGGTTGCCAACTTGTAGCATCATTGCCTGTTGTCGCTGTTGATATGTATGCTGACCAGTTATCATATCTTTATGGATGATTTGTTTCTCCTCCCCTCCCCTCCCCTCCTTTTTGTGTGCTAGAAAAAAAAGTATGACTTGCTATGTATATTATGGCCTTGTTTAGATTTTTCATATTTTCGGGTTATCTTGGCAGATGTCTGAACAGTTCAACCAAGAGATATCATTAACAGGTAAAATACCCTCTGGCCTCTTCAATTCTATGTTTGACTTTTCGGGATGCTGGCAAAAGGATGCAGCCTACACAAAAACATTGGCTTTTGATGGGGTTTTCATTACCCTGTATACTGTTGCTTTAGAGAAAAGTCAGCTAGTATTGCGTGACCATGTTAAACAAGCTGTCCCCTCGTCATGGGAGCCTGCTGCACTGGCAAGGTAAAGTCATGTTCATTTATTATGCTATTATCTCTAGTTTGATAGGTGCATCCTTTTCACCTAATAATACTTCAATTGAAATTTATTTTTAGCTTGATATTGAACTTGAGATTTGTTCGGTGGATATGTATAACAATGGCCATGATGCATTTAGGTTTTCTTCATAAAAATTCATTACTATCTACAGGGGTGATATTGAGGGTTACAGTTTTTTTGTAAGATAAACTCATTTTGGGACAAATTGCATGATCATGGACATTAGCAAATAGCAATGGTACTTTCTTTGCAAAATTCAATATAAATTTTCTTTTTTTCGTGATTATCATTTATTACCAATAACCATATGGCCTATACATGCAAATTAGGTTTCGAATTATACGAAGTATTATTTAGCCTTAATGTGAAGTTGTATGATTATAATAGTGGGGATGTACCTATATAAAATATCAACCCTTTGATAGTTTGATATATGGGTTCTTCTAAGGTGTACCCTTGTATATTTTTCTAAAAGTCTATTATCCTTGTGTGTGTGAAAGTGTCTCTCTCTAGTAATAAATTTTGTTAGTGGGTCTCATTTTATGAAATAAATTTCACTTAATTATGCTAGAGTCCATGTTTAAAGTGGTAGAAACTCAGTTCTCACTTCTTATCTAAACTCATTTTCCCAACCTACACAAGAAACCTTTCTAGTTTTATTGTTTTGTTCCCAGATATGGAAAATTGCAAGACATTTACAAATGAAATTAATCAACAGAGTGATATCCCAGCGGGGTTAAAATTATACTTTTAAATTCATAAGGGTTCCTTAGAGGCTTCTAATAAATCTAGGGTACAACGATGCTTTATGATAAACCCCAAGGGTATGTTGTAGAAAACCCCTTATTTTCTTTATCAAAGGTGAATACAAAAACAGGACAAAAGTCTGTTTTGCCACCGTTTGCAAGTGCACTGTCCTTTTTGAGCATGGTTTAGTCATTATTAGTCATACTAAAGCAAGCTTATTTGGTGTAACGATTGTATGCTCATGATTTTGGATTGATGGGAGGATGATGCTTTGAGTTAATTGTTTGATCAAGAACACTTTTTTACTATATTTAGTGACTAGTCTCAAGAAAGGCATTTGCTATGCTTTCTGATAAAAGGTTTTTAGTAAGCTATGTAGGTTTAATTAAATCAAAAACAACATTTGCTTGCTTATCTTTTCTTTTAAATGATGAAACTTAATATCGAAGTTAATTCTGCCCTCCACTTATTAAGATATTTGAGTCTTGTGTAAACCATGTCACTACCAAGGCATCTTGAAAGTGATTTTTATTCCATGATTTGATATCTGAAAAGGGTATTGGAGGTTTTTATTCAATGGTCACATTGGCCCATGTTGGATATCTATTGCTTCAATTTGAATTATTTTGAGGTTACCTTACCTCAACTTATATGAATCGAAGAGATACGTTCAACCCTTCATTTCCGATTCATTAGAAAGCCAAAAGGTTTGAAACAGTGTCCCAAACAGATCTCTCTCTAAAGTTGTTATTCCTTTTTCTACTTGACAATATCTTGTTTAAAGATGTTAGTTTAAATACAGTGGCTACATTAAGCTGTTTTTTCCCCCATGGCATGCTTTCATCAAGGCCTTATCTTATGAAGGCCACCTTTTAATTGGTAACATCTATTTTTGGGTTGAAGGGCTTATATGATTTCAAATTATGCAAGATTTTTAAAAAATCATTCCTTGGTATAAGTCTGATATTATTCAAGATGTGTTCTGCTACTCCATGATATCAGCCTTTGACTTGTGCTTCTGAACTACTTCAGGTTCATTGAAATATTTGGGACACACATTATTGTTGGGGTAAAGATGGGAGGAAAGGATGTTGTATGCGTAAAGCAACAGCACTCATCACACCTTCAACCTGCTGAAGTGCAGAAAAAGTTAAAGGAGATAGCCGACAAAAGGTTTTTAGATGCAAATGGGCAGTACGACATGAACTCTGGTCATATTTTTCAGGATGGAAAGGTTTTCTTCTCTATCTTAAAATGTTTTATTGTTTGGTTGCATTTTGATGTGTTTCTTCCATTATTTGAGCCAAGTGATAATTTGGCTGGAAAAAAGTTATCTAACTGATTAGTCTTATCTCCGCAGTTTGATGTTCGGGAACAACGTCTGAGATTTGCTGATATGAGTCCTTCTTGTTCATATTCACACAAGGAGGTATTTGTGTAGTGCAATGTGCCTTGGTATTATGGTCTAAGTTTCTTTGATATTAGAACATTTTTTTTTTTTTGATATTGGAACATCTTAAAATATCCACTATTTATCTTTTCTTCAACCTTTTTCATTTGTTCCAGGATATTACTAACATCTGCAAGAGGAGAGGAGGAAATGATAATAGGAATGTTCCTCATCATGAGTGGTTACAAACTGTACAATCTGAGCCAGATGTGATTTCCATGTCCTTTATCCCTATCACATCTCTATTGAATGGTGTCCCTGGAAGCGGGTTCTTAAGCCATGCAATAAATCTTTACTTACGCTGTAAGTTCATGTAGCATTTTATCTTATCACTTTAATGCTGTTGGTTGACTTGTTCGAAATAGATTTATGTGAAGTAATATGATAATGATTTTCCAACCCAATCATTGCCCTGTCAAGGCTAAGTCAAGGGGAAACACTGCCCTAGTCTAAGCAGATCAAGGTGGGTAACCCTTGCTTTCCATTACCTGGGAAGTGATTCAGCTGGTTTATTTACTTTGATGGTGTTAACTAGTTGGTGCACCAAATGGCTATTTGCTTTCTTATTTGTCTATTTTAAATGCAATAAATTGAAAGGAACTAGGTTAATCACTCAAGGTGTCTAATGCCTGAGGAGACAATATACTGAGTTGAGCTCCCTCCTTCCTTATAAATCCTCTCAACACCGCCCTCCCCCCCCCCCCCCCCCCCCCCCCCCCCCCCCCCCCCCCCCCCCCCACCCCTCCAAAAAAAAAAAAAATATATATATAGAGTAAATTGAGCACACATAAAGGAAAAAGGAAAAGTGGTTCAGGGAGGAAGATGTACTAGATACCTGCACTTATTTTTGGGCATTTGTGTTGGAGTCTGTTGGTCCAGGTATAATTCTATTGCAGCTGTTGGTTGAACTCCCCCCTCCCTAATTAAAATATTGAGGAGTGCTTGCTCTCAGAAAAGGTTGTCTTGCTATTGGCTTGATTCAAAAAATTCTTCATGTATGCTCTCTACGAGATACATTGTTTATTCGGGAACTGAAAAAATGACTTTTAAGTTAATTTATGTGGTCAGTTGAAGATCATGCTTTGCTTAATCCAAGTTAAATTATACCATTAGAAACCTATCTAACCTTGTGTTGGTTGCCATTTGCCGATGGGCAGACCAAGGCTTATCATATCAGTCGCTCATGAAGTTGTTAAAGTTTTTTTTTTTTGTTTTAAATTTGTTTGGTATTTTTGCAGACAAACCACCGCTTGAAGAGCTTCATCAATTTCTGGAGTTTCAACTACCAAGAACATGGGCACCTGTGTTCAGTGAACTTCCCTTGGGTCCTCAACGCCGGCAACAAAACTATGCTTCTTTACAGTTCAGTTTCATGGGCCCAAAGCTTTATGTGAATACCACACCGGTACTTTTTCTTGACCGTTTAGTCCTCATCTTTATGCGATTTGAAAGCAGACATTCTTTGCGTTATAGCTGTTTAACCATCAGGGTTATTTAATTTTGCATTTACAAACCTGGTGAGGTAGCTAAAATTTACTTATCAACAAACAAGTTTGATACAGGATCTTAAAATAAATTGTGGATCACCGAAGGTTCACCATCAATTCAAATACGCACCGAACAAATATTTCATGTTAAGAAGATAGGATACTAAGTATTTAATATTATACTCCACCCGTCCTTTTTGTTTGCATCAATTGCTTATTCATTCTCCTAAAAACAAGTTTGACCACTTCTATCTTTAAATGTGTATTAGTAAAACTATAATAAGTTGATTTTATGTAATTTTATGTTCAAATGAATCTAGTATTTGATTATTGATTATCAAAAGTTCAAAACCCAGCTTTTGTCACTCGTATATAAGCATTCTATAAGACTCTGTTTCTGTCTTATATACTTCATACTTGTTTCGAATCTTGCAACTATTCACAATTTGAGGGAACTTTAAATTATATCCAACAAATAAGATAAACATAATTGTGTGGGATCTTGTATGATTTATCTCAATGAGTGTTTTAAATAATTATTAAATTTTAGTTTAGTAATATTTAATAAAGATATTAATGGTCAAAGATTTGCCTTGGCAAACATGCACTTAAAAACAGGACTATTTAATTGTAGTCTTCAGCAAGGTGTTATGAAATTTGCTCCCTTGGAAGCAGGTGTATCTTAATTTGTCTTGCTTCTGAATTTGGTTGCAGGTTGATGTAGGTAAGAGGCCCGTGACTGGCCTACGGCTTTATCTTGAAGGTAGGAAAAGCAATCGTGTGGCTATCCACCTGCAGCATTTGTCATCTCTTCCTAAGATTTTTCAATTGAAGAATGATTCTGCCGGAAATTTTTTGCAAGAACAATATGACCGGAGATTTTATGAGAAAGTTGGATGGAAGAATTTTTCTCATGTATGCACAGCACCGGTTGAGTCTGATGAAGATCTTTCAATTGTAACTGGAGCCCAGCTGCAAGTTGGTGATTATGGGTTCAAAAAGGTACTCTTTCTTAGACTCCGTTTCTCCACAGTTCTGGGAGCCACACCAGTAAAAAACTCAGAGTGGGATGGATCACCAGGTTTGGGCCGCAAGTCAGGGCTCATATCAACCTTAATTAGCCAACACTTCACGACTGTGGCAAAACCACTGCCACAGCCAGCTGATGTGAATATCAATTCTGCTGTTTATCCTGGTGGTCCTCCTGTTCCAGTTCAAGCACCCAAACTTCTGAGATTTGTTGACACCACAGAAATGACAAGAGGACCACAAGACACTCCAGGCTATTGGGTTGTTTCTGGTGCAAAACTCGTTGTTGAAAAGGGTAAAATCTCACTTCGCGTGAAATACTCATTACTTACTCCTATTTTACCTGACGAGGATGAGTCGGAATAACTGCATAGTAGTCTCCTCATTTCTGGAATTGGGTTAAAATCTCTGGATAAATCATTTGAAGGAAAATTTGTTCTGGAGTAAATGGGTGGAGTTTTCACGATTGCTTGTGTAATTTTTTTTGGATGCAAATCACCGTGCAACAGAGTGTGAAAGGTGGTGGGCATTATCGGCAATTTTTATGGTGGTTGATCCGTGAACTTTTGGTTATATCCTTTTCACTTCACCTAACGAAAAAAAAAAAAATGTAATTGTAATGTAATTTGTCAATCTTCATTTATAAAAAGGAGAAAAGAGGCCAGGTATTTGCAATTGAAGACTTGAAGTGCTTTTGTAAATTCTATTGCTCTTATTTCGTGTTTAAGGGTTATTGTCTCATTATATGCTTGTCTGTGTTAACTATCTTAACTAAGGCTGTCTTTAAGAATTTGATAATTTAAGACTTAGAGATCAGACTGAACTTTGGACCTAAACCTTGTTCAATTGTGTGAACCCTTATAAAAACCTATAGTGAACTTATAGGTTATTCTCTCCGTCTAGATTTTGACATGTTTGAGTATTTGATGACCTCATTTCACTTTTTATACTCCATTCGTTTTTAAATGCCTGCTTTACTTTTTATTTTAGGTTTTTTTTTTCTCCTTTATTTGGAAAACTTTTATAATTTTTAATTCATTTCTCTCAACTAGTGGCATCCAATATAATTATATTTTAAGGGAAATTCCCATTGGTACACCCGTGGTTTTGATTTTCCCATTGATGCACAACACAATTTTTGCCTTTCCATCGGTACACCCATGATTTAGTCTTTTTTCCAACCGTGACTAACACCGTTAAAAAGTATTTCATTAAGTTAAAATAATTAGGAAAAGACTATAATACCCCTTTTAAATATCTTATGTCTTGATTTGCGTGTCGAAAATTGTTCAGTTAAATTTTTGGGAGTCCTAGTCATTAAGGATCCAAATTAATCTCGAAATTAGCAAAAAAAATAACCACAAATGTCTCATATGCGTGTCAAAAAATGTCTCGATTTGAGTGTCATTACTTTTTTGTGATAATAATTGTTCGATTAAAGTATTAGGAGTCATTTTGACCCTTTATGGATCTAAATCGAACTCGAAATTGTCAAAAAATCAACAAAAATATCTCATTTTTGCACGTCATGATATTTCTTTTTTGTTTTGTCATGACACGCAAAACGAGACATTTTCGTTAATTTTTTTTACACTTTCGAGTTCGATTTAGATCCTAAAAGGATCAAAATGATCCCTAAAACATTAACCGAACAATTACTATCACAAAAAAGTAATGGCACGCAAACCGAGACATTTTTGACACGCACATGAGACATCTGCGCTATTTTTTTTTGCTAATTTCGAGGTTTAGATCTTTAAAGACTAACATGACTTCCAAAACTTTAACCGAATAATTTTCGGCACGCAAATCGAGACATTAGATATTTAAAAGGGGTATTATAGTCTTTTCCTTAATTATTTTAACTTAATGAAATAGTTTTTAACGGTGTTAGTCACGGTTGGGAAAAAGACTAAACCTTGGGTGTACTGATGGGAAGAATTTTTTTTGGAGTGTATCAATGGGAAAAGTCAAAACCACGGGTGTACCAATGAGAATTTCCCTATATTTTATTACCTTTAGATTCCCTCTTCTTCAATTTACCATCTATTTTGGGTAAAAATATCCCTATCATGTGGTCCAATCAGAAAGAGACACGTGTCAAATTAGGATAGCTCCAACTTGGCCTCCCTAATCAGCAAAGGAAGTGGTGGCATTCAGGACTAGGGGGGTTCAGATCCGGGTACTCGCTTTTTCGGGTACCCGAAAACCTTGGTACCCAGATCTTCGGGTAGTTTAAAATTCGGCCCATGACCTGACCTGAAAAATCCGAGTACTCGGGTTTTGGGTACCCGATTTTCTCGGGTCGGGTCATAGGGTACCTAAATAAGTCATGATAATATTACTGCCAAAATTGTGATAAATGATAATCAAGAGCTGCCAAAAGTTCACAATTAGAAATTAAGTAATGAAAATATTCCTTATAATTACAAATTGCTATTGGCATCAAGGCATTAAATAATTGAACAAAAACTAAAGGATTTACGGGATTTTTTTATTTATTTTTTTTTTTTTTCCCAATTGTACATAACAAATGAATAAGAAATTAGTGGAGGAATAATATCACATTAATAATACATACAAATAAGAAAATAATGAAGGCCATTGGTACTGCAAAATGCAGATCATAATTAACGAAATGCAACAATTAATTTCAAGTGAAGCGCTAATTTGAAGTGGCCCAAATTTCTGAAGCTGAATGGATAAATCGATAGTGTGAATAAGAAGATCCATTGAAGAATCTGCTGCACTGAATTGAAATAGGAATCCACGTCTTCTAGGATTTGAATTATCGATGTTTCTGATGTTCTTGGTTAAAATCCTTGAAGAAGATGAAGAACGCAACACTTTCTCTCTCTTCTTTAAACCACAAGTCACGAATTCAAGGAGTAAATATTACTAGCACAGGCAAGGTTGAGAGAAAGAAATGGAAGAACCTAAGATGAATATAGAGAATAGAGGAAAACCAGAGAAAGATAGATAGAGAGAGAGAGAGAGAGAGAGAGGGGAGAAATGAGGGAGGAGAGAGAGTAAACGGCTGCAACACAAGAGGAAAAATGAAAGCCAATAAACCTATGAACACCTATGGAAGATTCCTGAAAAAATAAAAAAAAAATAACAAAAAAGCCTTCGGGTTTTTTTGGGTATCCACCAGCTACACATACCTGCCTAGACCCGACCCGAGAGTTACACATATTTTTCGGGTTGGGTACTCGACCCGATAAATTAATTTTTTTTTAAAAAATTACCCGACTATTTTACACCGGGTCGGCGGGTCAACGGGTCGGGTTAATCAGGTCTAGTAGTTTTGAACACCCCTATTCAGGACCCAATTCCCAAGAAGGCCGCAAAGCGGGGCACATGTTCTAATGATCCTATAAATAGGGAGATCTCCCTCAATTTTGGGACACGTTCATTTATTTCGAACACCTAAATTCACTCACATCAGAGTAAACACCTGATCTCGGAATTCAAGAAGATCTTACTTTTACCTTTTTCGCACCTTTTTATATTCTTCGACATTTACTTATTTGATCGTCGGAGGTGGAGCTCCTACCACCCGCAGTCTCCGTTGTTTTGCAGGTACAGACAGACGATTCTAGGCTTAGTGACGTAACTCTCCCGAGGGATCAGGAAAACCCCAAAACACCATCCACTAACCCTACCACCGTCATATTCATTACTTTTTCCAATTTCTCCAAAAATTTCGGCATAGAAAAATGAAACAAATATTTATAAATGGAGGGAGTACTATTTTTTACTCTAAGTTTTTAACTAACGCATTTAAAATAAATTTTATTATGAAATATGTTGTTAGATATACATAAAGAAAGTTAAACTAGTACAATGGTATATGTTTCTAGTTTGAATGTGTTAATTATTCTAAGATTTTAATTTTCAAAGTTAAGAAGGACCCTAACCATATTTTAATACTCATGGTTTTTTAGGTTTAGTATTTGCGGGTTAGACACTTGGGAGTAGAGGGGAGAGTAAGGGAATCCCTACCCCCAAATGCACTCACTTGGTAAAAACATTACTCTCTCCTTCTCCAATTAAACTAAACAACATGCAAACATCCATTAATCAATTTAATCTAAACAATTAATTAACCTAAATTCCCAAATCAATCTCAATAGTCAATCAAGCATGCTTTACCCAAACCCTAGCAAGAGGATCTACTCTCTAATCATCGTCATTTAACCCAACAAGCAATTAAAAGCATGAATTAACCAAAATTGAAGAACTACACTAATCAAATAAAGTATTAAACAATAAAACTCAATCAACATGAAATTAAAGAAAGGAAATAAGTGGAGAGAGAGAAATGTTCATTAATTGATTATGGATCAAAGATTTTCAATACAGTTGTCACCCTTGAATCTTGAACATTTAAAATCTCTCTTTGATTTTTCTCACTTTCTCTCTCTAAAACTACTCCTAATCTAACCTCAGATCTAGAGAAAGAAACTCTCAATTAAGCTAATTATGTGGCAAAATATTGAAAATAATACAATATCATTCTTTAAAAAAAGCACCATAATTTGTTGATGTGGAAAAATTTGATTGGCCTATATTTAATATTTTTATTTTCATTTTGAATTACTTTTAATGTCCATAATGTATGTATGTATTACTTGAAATTAATGTGGAGCATCCATTTTTGGCAAAAGTTGCCAAAAATATGAAACGAACGTAGTTATACATTTTTTTTAAAGAAATATATAATTATAAATCAAAATTTGAAATTATAATTATAATTAAAAACCCCAAAATTAAATTTGTTCATCAATCACTACTACAAAACAAGAGGATCGTTTTGAGCAGATGGAGGGTAAAGGTGGGATTGTTTCCAGATTTTGAAATGGTGGGATTGTTTTGAGAAGAAATAGCAAAGGTAGGATTATTATTTTTTATTTTTTCTAAATTTATTAGTTTTAATTTTATTTCTCTTATTTTCTATTTTATTTTATTTTATTTATTTCCATTTTATTTTATTTTATTCTTTGTCCCAATCCTTCCTCGGTTTTGTGTGTAGGTGTTCGGGCTTCATGTCAAGTGAGTTCGAGCGCCGATTTAAGAAAGGAAACAATGCCTATGTTGCTACTATGCTGTCAGCTTATCCTACACCCCGTCAAAACCTTATCTTTCACCACACCAAGCCAACCCCTACACCAAGCAGTAGCCGCAAGGAAGCAAGCCAACCTCCCCTGTTCCCTCTTCTCACTTAAACCCCAACAGCAGCACGCACATCCCTACTAAGCACAATCTCACCACCTCACATGATCATAACCAGACCACATCTCTCCCATACAGTACCTACCAATTTAGCCACCACTTCGTAGATAATAGCCCGCACCTTCTCACTTCTCCGACCGCACCTAGAAGCTACTCCAATTCGAACAGCAGCAACCAAACCAACCACCTCAATTATCCACTGAACAATCCAATTCACCGCAACATTAACTCCATCTCACCACCGCAATGGCCACCTTACCACTACCCAGCAGCCCTTGCACCTCTCACCATCAACCACCTTCCACCCTAACTACCACCAAATAACACAAAAACCACCAGCCTCAACTGCCTAGCAACAACATTAGCCTCGAGCACCGTTCTCACACTCCCCAAGGTAACTTTCATCCATTGTGAGCTAACCATGTGGCACCCAAACTTGAGCCCCAAGATGGGTTCGGTTAGGCCGCCACCTTTTGGACCGCATCCATGACCCATCACCCGGGTCCACG